GAATAAGGTCCAAAGTATGTATTTAAATGTGTACTTAGTTTTATGTAGGAAAACAAACCAAACAGGAGCTGTGATAATTAAACAAATGAAATATGATGGGCCGAGAGGCTTTAGAGGCATATTTCTTAATCTTCCTCTTAGAACCTATTAACAAAAAAAAGAAACAAAATCTCAACTCAAAGTATCTTGGCTTTCCACCCCAGGACTCTTTGCAATTTATTGTATTATATTTCTTTTTATCCACGAGACATTCATAGATATCATCAAAGAAAGTAGTAGACATGATCCTAACTATAAGCTAGTATTCTGGAGGTCATGAAGTTGTTCTGTTTTGTGAAATTGCACAAAATCGATTTCTTCAGAATTCCTCTTTTGCCGAGTGCCAAATTCCAGTTTCCGTCATTGGAGAATTGAATTCATTCATTCATTTCTCCTTCCTCTACTCATCCTTCCTTCCTCCCTCCCTCCCTCCCTCCTTCCCTCCTTTTCTCTCATCCATCCCTCTTTCCATCCATCCATCCATCCATCATTCAATCATTCTTGAACGCCTACTGCGCTAGGTGTTGGGAATGTGATGAGTAATGAGACACACATGATGTTTGCCTGCCCTCACACCACTGTGGGATGATGTTGAAGGAATTCTATGAATGATTCTGGAACTGTTAATAATATTGTAAATGTGCCCACCTCACATCCTCCTCTATCATCATCATCATTGTTTATTTTTGGCAGCAGAATAGACCCATTTTTGTTTTTATTCCGAAAAAAATCTTAGCAGAAACCAAGAATATAAACCAAATAAAAGTGGGGTGGATCTGGTTGAAGATACCCAAAACACCAAACCAGTTGCTGTCGATTCTGACCTACAGAGACCACCTCCATGTGTTTCAAAGTAGAACTGTGCTCTGTAGGGTTTGTAATGGCTATAATCTTTTGGAAGTAGACCACGTAGCCTTTCTTCTGAGACACCTCTGGGTGGATTTGAACCGCCAATCTTTCGGTTAGTAGCTTTGCACTTAGCTGTTTGCACCACCCAGGGCCTCCTCTGGTTGAAGATAGAGAAGCCCAAATCCTGCCATGTAGTCCAAAGCCTCTTTCATACTGCGCTTGAGATACCTCCTCAAGCAGCCAACCTTGGAATGCTACTGACCTTCGTCTCTGTCCTTGATCTAACATGACTTCATATTCTGATAGTGGTGTGTTACGATTCTTCATACATAGCAGTGCCCCAGCTGTAGAGACAACTAGGATAAACGTGTAAGTTCAGGCTTACAAACCTCATAAACCACAGAAATGGTAACTCGTAGCCTCTTTGTGTCTTTTCAACTTCTAATCTCAGAGCTCCTTGTCTATGATTGACTAAAATGCGACAAGGGAACTCCTTTGGTGTGGTAGGTTTTTCTCCCGCTTTATCCCCAGACCTGTGTATTTTACCTTTCCTGCCTCCCTTGAGAGCTGAAAACAAAATAACAGCAGATAATCACCTCCTACCCCACCCTCCAAAGGAGACAAGACAAAGGAGTATAAACACGTTTATTTCTAGTTGTTTCTGCAAAGTTCTGGTGACTTGAAATTATTTAATCATGCTTAATTTCCTGCAGGGGGAGGGGGACGTTTCCACGATAATTTGAGACAAGTGGCAGTTTTGCCTCTGGCAGATTTAAAATGAGAAAAGTGAATGCTGAGATGCCAAGTCACCACATGAATGCACATCTGTGCCCATAGTCTTAATCAACCTCTTTGTTTGGTTTCTTTTGGAGCCGTAACAGCCTCAGTGACGCGTGCCCGTGTGATGCAGTGACATTTGCACAGAACAAGGCCCACACGTGTTCTCATTTAAATTGCTTTAAAATGCACTCTTCTGCCGAATTCTTAGAATGAAGTGATCCCCAGGGTCAGAGCTCAAGTTGAAGTTTTTCTACCTCCCTACTTTGATAGAACTGCCTATACTTCCCGTTATGCGTCATTCTCTCTGAATTTCTTATTCTGCTTCCTCTCCCTTTTCCTCTCTTCTCTCAGTATTTTAATCCATTTCATATTCAACTCAAAGAAGACCAAGAATGAGATTTTTTTTAAAGCAAATAGTTATTCATTCAGTAAACTGATAGAATATTGATATAGGCCAAGAATGGCTGAAATTGCCCAGTAGATATATTTCATTTGGTCCCCACATTGTTTAAAAAAAATCATTTTTTAAAATTTGAATGCCTTTGGATCATGCAAATGATTTCCCAGCTTACCACAGTCCTCACCATTCTTTATTGTCTCACACCCACCCTACTTCACACGTTTACATTATTGGCCCTGTTTCTAGAGTTAGTCTAGTCCTTTGTTGAAGTCCAAGGCTTTTTCAATCTGCTTTCCTCGGGAATTGTCAGTGTACGATCTAGGATTCTAGAGTATTACAAAAGACATTGCTACCTTGTAGAAGTTTACAATCAAATGGGCAGGGTTGTTAAAACCACATAAAAGATATAAATACAGTAGAATTCTCACCTACCATGAGAGAGACCCAGGTTTGATTCCTGGCCAGTATACCTCACATGCAGCCACCTCCCGTCCGTCAGTGGAGGCTTGCATATTGCTATGATACTGAACAGGTTTCAGCAGAGCTTCCAGACCAAGACAGACTAGGATGAAAGGCCTGGCAGTCTATTTCTAAAAAATCAGCAATGAAAACCCGATGGATCACAACAGTCTAATCTGCGCTGGTCATGGGGATGGTGCAGGACTGGGCAGCATTTTGTTCTACTGTGCGTGGAGTCGCCACGAGTCAGGGGCCAATTCAACAGCAGCAAACAACAGCAACAATTCATTTACAGTAAACAGTTAAAGAAAGTTAGAGTTGTACTCACAGCTTGGAATAAAATAAGACGCCAACCAGTAAATCTTACTAAATTATAAAGGAAGTTAGTACATTCTGTGTATAACCATTGAGCCCTGGTGGCACAGTGGTTAAGAGTAACCACTCTTTTTTTACCTGGATAATTGATTCTGGTTAATGAAGCTTTAGCTTGCATAGGGTTCCTGGAGCTATAAGATGATGGTGAGGCCTTCATGCCCATGTTATCAAATGTTAACCTTCCTTTTCAGCCTTTTTCTTGTTTCTCTCCGTATCACCCCTTTTATCGTACTTTGTATCCATAGGATGGCTTTAGTTTTCTTTTGGACTGTGAATGTATCTACCTATGAGTTTCCGCTGACTATTGGTACAGAAATAAAACCCTCTCTTTCTGTCTATTTCCCAGCAGATATATGGACTGATCACTCATTTCAGACTGATCCAGATTTGCCGCCTGGCTGGAAAAGAATCAGTGACATCGCTGGCACCTATTACTGGCACATACCAACAGGAACGACACAGTGGGAGCGCCCGGTCTCCATCCCAGCAGACCTTCAGGGTCCTAGGAAAGGGTCACTTAGTTCTGTAACGCCATCTCCTACCCCAGAGAATGAGGTAAAACAGAATGCCTTTTTAATGGCTTGTAAGAGTGGATGTAATTTGTGATTTCTGTTTAGACTAGCTGCTTCTGCCCTAACAGGTTGTGGAGGTAAGCTTTTTGATTATCATGCATGGTGCATTTGAAATCTCGGTAATGCTTCCTTTTAGTAAATAGTGTTAATATCCATCTTTCAGGAATATTTTCATTTTTTTAATGGCCTTTGGTCTCTTGAAACACGCAATCCAGCTACAGAAAGCAAGAGGGGCTGATTAATGAGAAGTGGTTAAGATTCCCCAGGGCTCACTGAGGCAGTACTTTACTCTGCAGGTACCATTGCCTGGTGCTAGCTCCATAAAATATTTATACAAAGTACTCTCTTGGCCAGATGTGTTATAATTACTGCATATCTTATTAGCCTTGGGTTCATTTGGTAGCGTGGAGAAGATATCTGCAAGAATAACCCTTGAGAGGCCTTAAGTGCTTAATTTCTTTAAAAAACAAAACAAAACTAGTTTGTTTAGCACAAGTGACATTATTTTAGAAATAACTAGCAGCATAAATTCCTGCTATCCCTGAGGAAGAAATCTGGATGTTTAAACAAAGAATTGAGGCATTAAAGAATTCCGTCGTGGTATTTATTAATAGAAAGGTTCCTGCAGTGAACCTTTGTGAATCCTGATAACAGCTGATTCAAGAGAATTACAGTTGGCGAAGGTCACAATGAAGTAATGGCTTTTTTTTTTTTTTTTTGAGAAAAGCAGTTTGATCCCTGACACTCAGGCACATCTGCCTTTTTGTGACCACAGTCATTTATTCTTTAAGCAAGCCCATTTCTTTTACTTTGAGGATGTGGAGGGTATGTGGACTGTATCTCTTGCCTGCAGACATTCTCTATACATTTGCAACTGTTGTCACCCTTTCCATGTTTAAAAGTAGATAACATCTTTTTTCCTAAATCTTTGATTATTTCACTTGTTCTTCTCTAGGAGGCAGAAATACCTGAATTCGAAATTCATTTCTGCCTCCAAACAGCACAGGGATTTGGCATCTCACTTACCCAGGCTGGGCCTCAGATTCTCCATCTTAAAATGATAGGTTGAGGCAAGCTATATCCTCAGTGGCAGAGGAGGACCTTAGTTTATTTGTACTTTGCCCTAATAATCAGACACATACTTCATTTTTTCAGTACCATTGAACCACGTAGGATTTTGTTGATTGTTACTACACAATTTTTATAACTTTCTTTCCAAGTATAATATGACCCTGTCTGAGAAATTCCCATTCCATCATTTGTTCATCTTGTGTTAGGTGCCCTGGGGGGTAAAGATGAACCCACACAGCCCCGGTCCCAAAGGACTTAGCATGAAGTGGAGCCTTCTTCATATCCCAGCCCAGCTGCATCCTGGGATTCCTCTCTGTAAACAGAGTGGCCCTGTAGCAGCCAAGCCAGCCAGGATGCAGCCTCTGCTCTCACTAAGGCTCAGATATGCTTGCTTTTCCTTACCTGTTCCTCTTTTCTCTTGGCACCGCTGTTAGGATTGCTTTCTCCATTCTAATGCTGTATTCCCCTATTGCAACCCTTCAACCATCTTCACCTATCAGGAGTGTCCTACAACCAGAGAATGCTAGGATAGTAAGATTCATTTGGTACCAACATCTGTATATGACAGGGAAACTGAGATTTAGGGAAGTCAGAGATCAGTACTAGCCTAGGCCTCGAACTTGGAGTTCCTGAATCCTCCTGAAGTTCTCTAGAGTTCTTCTCCCTAAACCTCACTAGCTGTGGGGTTTTAGCTTACCCTGGTGGCGTACTGGTTAAAGAGCTACAGCTGCTAACCAAAAGGTCAGCAATTCGAATCCACCAGGCGCCCCTTGGAAACTGTATGGGGCAGTTTTACTCTGTCCTATAGGGTCACTATGAGTCAGAATCGACTTGACAGCAGTGGGTTTGGGTTTTTTTTTGTGTATTATGGATTGAGTTGTGCCCCCCAAAAATATGTGTTGTAAACCGTAACCTCTGTGCCTGTGGTTATAATCCCATTTGGGAATGGGTTGTCTTTGTTATGTCAATGCAGCAGGATTAGTGTAGGGTGTATCTTGAGTCAGTCTCTTTGGAGATATAGAAGAGATTAAACAAGCGAGCAGAGGAGAGATGGAGTAAGATGGATGCCAAGACCTATGGAGATCTCCAAGGAACCAGGAAGCAGAAGCTGAAGAGACATGGACCTTAATCCAGAACTGACAGAGAAATCCTTCCCCTAGAGCTGGTACCCTAGCCTCCTAAACTGTGACTTCTAGCCTCCTGAACTGTGAGAGAATAAATTTCTGTTGGTTAAAGCAACCCAAATTTGGTATTTCTGTTATAGCAGCACTAGATAACTAAGACACCCTGCTTCCTCATTGTCCCAGACACAAGGAGATTGGACGAATTTGGAGATACAATTTCTATTATTTAAAGCTCATGTCCTCTATATGTAGAAGAAATGAAGTCCTTCTTAAAGCCTGTCTGCTGAATCCAATGCATGAGCGTACTGGAGTCCAAGGAGAGCATCCTGAGTGTTATGTGGCTCTAATTGTTATTTGTTTGATTAAAATGCAGACTTCATTTCCTTACTTTCTGCAAAAAGTCTTGGAAAGAATACGGTACAGGTGGTCAGCTGGTCCAGGGTAAAATTGTCAAGTAGCAAGGTTCATCTCTAATCTCTGAGTGTCCTTCTGGTACCTACTTTTGCCTATTCTTCTCCTACTCTGGCCCTACTCCCCTCTCCCCACCCTACCCCCAATCCCATCCAGTGCTCAGGGCCCCTTCCCAGGCTCAGATTGTGTCCCATGGCTCACCCACTCCTGGAGTTAAACACACCCCTCATGCATCTGCACCGCTCAGCCTGCTGGCTGCCACTCATGGTTTGTTGTAGTTTTCAGGGTATTTTCATAAGCATCGTTTCATTTGAGCCTTTCAAGACTCTCATGTGGCAGAGAAGACAGCTTTTATGTTCCCATTTAAGATAAGTGATAACTATGGCTCATTGTGTTGAGCAGCCATGCAACTGATGTTAGAGTGGAGACGCCTCCAGGCCTCTGACTCTAGATCCTGTGCTTTACCCCCAGTACTATGTGAATTTCCACACTGCTGTTGGTTTCACTCCTCTCTTCTATCGCAAACCATGCCACTGTGTTGACTAAGTCTGATTCCTGCAAGGAACTTTATTAATGGCTGTGTATTTTTAGAAGTTTCAGAGGGAGTCCCTCATAGCCAGCACATTGGTAGACCAGTGGGATAGATAGTCTTCAGATCAGCCTTTCAGTTGTTCCTATCATACCACATTTTCCTCCTGTACGTAAGGCCTTCTGTTAAGTCAAAGAACCGAGCAGATTTAAAATGCAATAAGTGGAAATCTTAGAAGCAAAGGGGTGAGCAGGTAGAGAGAAAAAGGGTACAAGAGTTAAAGAAAAAACCCAGCCCACCACAGACCCAGCTGAATATGGAGGAGGTTGTGCACATGTGAACACTGATACTAACACCAGTGACACAAATGGTAATTGAGTGTTTGCAGTGCCAGGCCTGTGCTTTATCTCATCAGTCTCCACAAAACCCTTTTGCATCTGGGTTTTCACATTTGAAAACACTAAGGCCAGAAGAATAAAAAAATATGCCTTGGGAGAAGTATAGCCAGAATGCTCTTTAGAAGCAAGGATGGCGAGAGTTCATCTCGCATACTTTGGACATGTTATCAGGAGAGATCAGTCCCTGGAGAAGGATATCATGCTTGGTAAAGTAGAGGGTCCACAAAAAAGAGGAAACCCCCAACGCGATGGATTGACACAGTGGCTCCAACAGTGGGCTCAAACATAAAACGATTGTGAGGATGGCACAGGACCCGGCATTGTTTTATTCTGTTGTACATAGGGTCTCTATGAGTTGGAACCGACTTGATGGCACCTAACAACAAGAAACAACAAGACACAGAGAGGTTAAGAAGTTTGCCCAAGATCACACAGCTAATACATGGTAGAGTCAAGCCTGAATCAGGTCTGCTGACACCTGCTCCCACCCTAAGCTTCATAATACTGTATAGCGGGTGCTCAGAGAGTTTCAAATCTCTTCATCCCACTCCAAGGAAAGACTGTGTCACCAACAGAACCTTCTAGAAAATAGCTTCTCTTGATATCATTGTCTCAGGTACTAATGACAATTGAAGAGAAATGATTATTTCTTTAACACCATTTCTTTGATCTCTAAATAGAATCCATTTCAAGTAATTTTGGAAGCATGAGAGAAAGCAAAATGTTAAGGAAAGAAAGAAATCTGTAATACGTGATGGTAGAAATGCATATTTTATTCAAATTTTCCTGAGCTGGCTAAAAAAATAAAATAAATAAATGCCAAATCTGTTGACTAAGCCTCTCAGAAGTTTAGGACTGAAGGCTTCTTTACAGTTTGAAAATTTTACATGTCACATTCCAAAGTTCACTTGGGAAGTGTTAAACGCAGAGGATAATGTTTCCCCGGCACATGCCAGCAGTACTTCTGAAAGTTTATAAACTGGCTAGGAAGCATTTGCTGCTGAAATTACATACACAGTGCTGTTCTTCCAAACCATTTCTTTTGTTCCATATTATCTCCTAAATTACTTGGATGTCAAATTTTAGAGAGAAAAGGGAACCTCATAAAATACTTTAATAAATAACTGTTGGCCCACAGCCAAGTCTTACTTCTAAGCTTTTCAGCTGAAGGTGTTTTTCTGATGCCTTAAGCAGAGAGTGTGGAGGAGGAGGTGGTTGTGAAGCTAGAGAAGGTGGACTCTTTTCTTGGTAATAAATCGCTCTGTTCTTGCAGCAATGTTCATGGTTCTGTGGATGCCCCAAGCAGTGACTCCAGAAGGGGCACAGTCCACATGTTACGTTAGAAGCTATGTGTTTTCATACATTACATTGCATATACAGATAAAATGACAACATAAAAGGACCGTTTTGATGGCAATGGGTTGTTGTTTTCCTTTCTTGGGGAGTGGGG